TATATGCATCTATGATTTCTAAAATAGGGTCAAAGAGAATCAGATTGGTGTTGTACTTGTTATTCATTAATATTTACAACAGGTCCTGTTGCTGGTAAAGAATTAATTGTACAAGTAACAAATACAGGTGGTGATCTTGGTGAAAATCATTTTGATCTTCAAATGCCTGGTGGTGGCGTAGGTCTTTTTGATGGGTGTTCAAAACAATTTCCTGAAGTTAGTAAACCTTTATGGGGTCAACAATATGGTGGTATTAGTCAACGATCACAATGTAACAATTTACCAGCTTCCTTACGACCTGGTTGTTTTTGGAGATTTGATTGGTTTCAAAATGCTGACAATCCAAAAATGACTTTCAAAGAAGTTCCATGTCCAACTGCTCTTACAGCAAATACACAATGTGTTAGAAGATAGAATAAAACAGCAAAACAAAAAAAAGAAAAGAATTCATTCTTATACTTCTTTTTTGCGTGATTTTTCTCGTAAAATTTGACTAAAACTATAGAAAAAAAGAGTCCTTAATTTTCATTAGTGTCAAGCTTACAAATTGAATTTCTTTAATGCAACGAAAGAACTGTCTTATGTACATGTTTTCACAGTAATAAGGGACAAGTTATACTAACAAAATTTAGCATGTCTTATAATAGAGCAAATCGAACGAGAGATTATACAAGGTATTAATTCGATTATTAAATTTATGTAAAATAAAATAAAAACAAATAATGATATCAGACCAAATACAAAAGAAACATACACATCTGATTAGTTTGTGTTTTCAAAATTTAGTTATGGTCTCTTGATCAACAATTACTGTTGACTTTTTTTCTTCATTCTCGTATATATTTTCATCATAGTTGAATTAGATGACATGACATCAATATTACAAGTGATCATATAATTGACCATGCCTAAAATTAAATAAATATTAATTCTATGGAATGATGATTAACGACATAAGAAGAAAAGCTTACTCCCCGTAAACGAGATATAGTATCTGTTAATTTGACTAAAGCATATTGAACAGTAGCAATAGCACCAACTAAAGTCCACATCACATCTGTTAATGTACCAATATATTCTGATTGAAAACTAAACATAGATGCAAATAAATATTTCTAAGAAGTGAAAAGAAAATTTTATTTATTCTGAAAAAATTTCAACAGTTTTTTACAGAAGAAAATGTTTTTTTTTCTTTGGTTTTTTTCTATTTTATAATTAGGATTCTAAGTAAAACTGACAATGTTACTACAACTGCTTGACTTCCATCAACAATTGTAGCTCGTGCAAAATAATTGATTACTAATGCTGAAATAATCATATTTGTTTGTGCAAACATACATACAATACATGCGACAATATTTATGAGCCATGATACAGTTTGCATTAATGATAAATTAAATAATTTTTGTTTCTTACCTGAATAATAATAAATATACAAAAGTCACAAATTTAAAAAGAAAAGTTAAAAATTTACCTTTATCAGCTTTAAATCCAAGTAGAAAACCATTGCTTGGATAAATAAGAATAGCAGAAACAGTAGATAAATTAAATGCAAATGTATATTTATTAGCTAAAATACAGGGAAAAAAAAGACATTAGATAAGAAAAATTATGAAATGAAAGAATTTTTCATGGTTAGTGATGTTGTTTTATTGTTACATGAATATTTGTTATATAATAAAAAGTCTATTCTAGATAAGAAGATTTTAACTACTTACTCAGTAAGGTATCTTGTTTTGTAATATAATATACACCACATAGATATCATGTTATAGCAAGCAATATTCTTAGTAAGAATAGAATACTTAGAAATAACACTACCAATATATACAATGGACTTGTTAAATGATGCCAAACACCTTTTTGTTTTAAAATTCTTGTATACCATTTCATTTTATCTATTTCATTGTTGTTCGATGAAGAATTTTCATCTAGACAAGAAGTAAAATATTGAATATCATACAAATATTTTTTGTTATTCAATTAACTTACTAGTGGTATTAATTGCAGGAATCTTGTTTTTTCTCCAATTTTGTATCGAATTTATAAGGTAAATTAAGAATAGGAAATTTCAAATCAAGAAATAGGAATGAACTAATTAACATAAGTGCGTCAAATGACATCCATATATAAGATAGTTGTTGTAATGTGATTTTTCCTGCATCAATTAAAATCTACAAAAAGAAAAATGACACAACTTGCATTTCTCTATTGATCACAAGAAAGGTTTCATTGTAATCCCTATGACATTAAAATGTAAAAAATTAAAATGTGCGTATGGGCGAAGAAAAACAATACATTTACAACCGAACGAAAAAAAAACCATTCTTTAATATCATTTATTTTTGTCTCTTATTATAAAAACCCATAATTATAGTAAGAAATCTATTTTCAAACACTTCTTTGTATAAGAAGCAAAGCTCTCTCACTGAACTACTCAGTGACACATACTTGAAATATTGAATACCACATTGTAGCTGATGTACAAGCTCCAGCAAATAATGCTGCAACGAATGCTCTTGATTTTGAAAAATAATCACTTGATGTATATGCTGTTAATAATACCATAATATATCGGCCAATGATGAAAAATTTGTATGAGCATGTAAAAATGCATCTCGTTCTCAAAAATAAAAAATAAATGAACAATATTGATCATTGATCATAATTCTTTATATATACACTAACCAGATGCAACTAGTGCTAATGTTAACCATCCAATAATATGGAAAATTCTGAAAAAAAGAATAAAGATTGTAAAAATTGAAATTAGACAAAGTAAGAAAAAAGGTATAGTTACATAGCAATTAATTTAACAAATCGACATTCGAATCGATCAATCAATGGACCAATAACTATTGATTGAATTTCAAATAAAATAATACCTAATGTTAATGCATTCTAATTGAAAAATAAACGAAATAAATGAATGATTGAATATTCAAATGTACCTGATATTGTCATATTTGATGTCCTTCACCAGATAAATCTCCATTTTCAGTTTATGTTCCATTGACAAACAAAGATGAACAATTATTTTGATTACCATAAATTCCATATTGAGTTAAAATTTTAAATATAGTTGAAAATCCAAATATTGTACCACCAATTAAATTAACTTCAATAATAAGCTATATCAAAACAAACCATTTTTGAACCGAATGATGACTTTGTTTTTCTCGATTGTTTATTTTAACAAGAATAGAGTGGGTTGGGTGTGAGGAGCTATAGAGGGGTTATCCACATCCACACCCACATCTACACCCACACCCTCAAGATTCTTCCGCAATATTTATTTTAAAAAAACCAAGGAGATAGTAAATTTTGTTGAAACTCTCGACATGGCCACATATATATTTTCAGAAAATCTTCAGATTTTGAAGCTCACTGACGAAGAAGAACTTCGAATGTTCACAAAATACTTTTGTTGTCTTCTAAAACATTTAAAGTTAATTCGATAATAACAAATTTTCGAAGACGACCAAAAGTTACGTCTGTACAAAACACCAATTTCATAAGTCTTAGTAAGAATATTTAAATATTTTTTTGACATTAAGTTATAGTTGAAGAAGATCGAAACTAGTTTTACATAGAACCAGAATTCGATACTATTTTAAATTGTATCATTTCGAACTTGATTCTGACTTCCGACTAGTTAGTTATAAACAAGTACCTGACTAAATTAAAAAATGTCGTTTGAGCTATGCTAAATAAATATTTTTCTATTTCTCGAAAGAGTATTTTGAAATAGTTTTTTCTGTCTACTTTTGTAGGGAATTCCATGTTGTACAAAACCAAGATTTTCAATAAGTTGTATCTGAAAAGTTTTCCACATACTATTTGGTAATTGATACAACATTTTGTGAAACACGATCTGAAAGGAGTGTTGAAGTGTTTAAGGGTAGAAATTTGGACCTTCCCCACACAGACCGTGACAGACATGGCTCTGGACCCGTCATAGTCCATAACAGACAGGATCTGGCCCGTCACAGACAAGACTCAGGGGTCATTACAGATTGATAGAGGACTTCAAGGAAATATCAGATATGATGCATAACTAATATATCATTGAAGCATATATGGAGTATTATCTGGTTGAAAGTATATAACGTAATGTAAGCCAATATGAAGACATGTACATCAGTATGCATAAAAAAACAACAGCTTTTGGAACATTGGCTATAGCAACTCTACATCGTGTTTCACATTTTTAATCCGGCAAGGTATTGCGCTAACAGCTTTTTCAAAATAATCGGTTTTAGAGAATTTTGACATTTGCAATACAAGAGCTTCTAATGATTTTTGACAATATAAGGAAAATTGAGCAGTGTTCAATTTGTAGAGAACAAGCTTCGTTCTAAAAATGCTTTTATCGAATTAAATTTAAATTGAAAGGTATATTTAGAAAGAGCTTGAAATTTTCATTCGAGCTGACTACTTTTTATTGTCTCTTGCAACCATTAAGTCAAACAAAATTAGAGATATTTTTTGTGGAAAGTTTTTTTTACACACTGGTTTGTCATTGCAAGAAGATTATATTATTATTGATATTGACCGACTTCATAGGTCAACATATATATAGATATTTTTCTTTCAATGGCGTGTTTATAAGAAGTAACAATAAAATTTTTGCGACAGTCATGAGTTATCATAAAACGTTTTTCTTCTGACATCATATATATATGACAACATTCATTTGATTTTCCTGTGATGCCGAAAAATATACGAAATCCAAGTTCTAATAGTCTTTGAAGGGCTTTGAACGTCACTTCAATAATATTTTGGTTAAAAGCAACTAAATGTTCTGTTTTTTTATTTGAAAAAACAAATATTCATAGTAGCACAACAAATAATAAAAGCTATCTCTTTCATTCGATATCATATGAGATGTCATTTTTGAGATTTGATTGTGTCGTTATTGTCTGATTCAAAAAAATGATGCTATGATTTTTTTTTGATTAAATATTAGAGTATTTACTTGTACAATTAATTCTTATGACGAAAAATGATCAATTATTTGCTTTATTTCTGACACTAAAATTCTTGATCAATCATACCACATCAATAAGAGATTGAGATTATAAGGAAATATACCGAGTCAGAAAAAAAAGATTGTATATCAGAATATAAGTTAATTATACGTAGTATCGAGGCAAGGCTCTACTGTTTTTTCTACAAAAAGACTTCAAATAATATCAAGTGTAAACAATGGAAAACAAAAACTAGGTATAGACAAATATTAGATTTAACTTTTGGCAATTTTCTTTTTTTGACGAAAGAGGTTCTTTCTCTCTTTTTCTTTTCTTCGATTAGAAGAAGGATACGAAAAAAAAAAGAAATCAATAGATAAGTAGCATACTGCAAGAATATAATTGTGTTAATTATCTGTATCATTATAACACTTAAGCCTTTTAGGGTATGTTCAATATTCTTTGTAGAAAACAGCAATGCAATCCTACTATTTGTTCATTGTTGGTAATTCTTATGAATTGTAACATGAACTTACGAATGAGTGTTAATATTCTCTTTTTTCCATTGAAGAGAAAAAACTGTTTATTAATCAATGAAACCATATACTAACGTTTTTGTTATGTAGTTGTAGTATAGATTTATGTAAATTAAAAAATATAATGATCTAGGTAAGCATTGAAAATATCGTTCTTCTGTATTTGAACGCAAATATCAAATATATGATGTGATGCAGGTTTTTTTGTTTTTGAATTAAGAAAGTTAGCTAAAAACCTATATTTGCCAATTATATGCAAAATATGTATAGTTCTCTTTCATAAGCATACAAGCAAAAATAATTATCAATAAATGTATATTTGTATAGAACAAGAGTTTATTTTGTAGTCATTTTGACACGCGTTTAAGTTGTATGAGTTTTAAATATGAATAAACGAAATGTGAATATGATTTCTAAATAAATGATAGAAATTAATAAAATAAGAGCAACTAATATAACACAAGAAAACATGATTTCTTTTTCTTAAACACATATTTTGGATAAATATAAACTCAAAAATTACTCTAGCAAAATATATTCTTTCTGAGCGCGACAACACTACAGATAACTGATATAAAACTTTTATTTATTTACTATACCAATGTTAACTAGTACCTTTATAAAAGCTTACATTGTGTTTTTTATTGTTTTGTTTAAATTATCAACATGTGTATCATATGCATAATGAGAAAAAAGAAGTATATTTACGGTATAGTTAGAGAAAGAAAGAAAGAAAATATGCAATGGACTAGACAAAGTAATAATGCAATCAAACTTAAGTCACACTATACATCATACGTGAATAAAGGTAGGAGTAAATTATTATACGATAGGTGACTTTGATGGTTTTCTTCCCTTTAATTTCTTACTGAGTAAAAGGAAAAAGCAAGATTACACATATTTGATGTGGGAGAAAAACATAGAAAAAAACAATGTGTATCAAACATATAAATAAAAAAGGTAAACTATGTTCAAGCAGCTATTTATTATTCATGATATAGAATTACCAATCGAAAAATAACTATTACATTTAAAATGAGTCAACAACTAAGACGACGGATTGTTGAAGATTACTTGGTTATTTGGGTTGATAGTAATATCAATATGGGAAATAAAGACGATCAAAGTACAATGGAACAATTACGATCTATCGTCAATCAAGTATATCAATGTACAACAGCTGAACAATGCATTGAACAGCTCGAGGAAAATTCAGCGGAGATCTCATTTGTCATCTCCTCTGGTACAATAGGACAGCACCTTGTACCAAGAATCCATGGTATGACAAAATTAAACGCCATATACATATTTTGTCGTAACAAACAATGGCATCAAGAATGGACTCAGAATTGGACGAAAATCCAAGGTGTACATACGACTATCAATAATATATGTCAAAAGTTGATAAATGCTATCAAGCAATGCAACCAAAACAATCTATCGGTGAGCATTGTCAATCCTAACGAAGAGGATTCAAGCAAAAATATAGATGAACTAGAATCTTCTTTCATGTACTCACAAATGTTTAAAGAATTGCTACTTGAGATGCAGCATAGTCGTCAAAATTTTGAAGACTTCATCACGTTTTGCCGAGAAGAATATAAGGACAATATCAAGGAAATGAAAAATATTGAACAGTTTGAACACACTTATCATGCAACAAAGACCATTTGGTGGTATACGCGTGAGAGCTTCGTATACAAAGTACTTAATCGGGCATTACGGACACTCAACGGCGATATGATGCTTCGAATGGGTTTTTTCTTATGCGATTTACACCGTCAAATTGAAGCTTTGTATAAGAATCAGGTTAGTCCCGATCATGGAAAGTCCTTTACAGTCTTTCGTGGACAAGGTCTATCAAAATGGGATTTTGAAAAGCTTTCTAATAACAGTGGTGGGCTAATTTCTTTTAATAACTTTTTATCTACCAGTATTAATCGCAATGTCTCAATTAATTTCGTCAAGAGCGCTTTACGAACAGCCGATATAGTTGCTGTTCTTTTTCAAATAATTGTTGATCCTACAGTTTCAACAACTCCATTTGCCTTCATCAAAGAAATGAGCTTTCACAAGAATGAAGAGGAAATTCTCTTCTCCATGCACACCGTTTTTCGAATTGGTGACATTCGAAAAATCGATACAAATAATTCGATTTACGAAGTAGACCTAAAACTAACCTCGGATGATGATAAACAACTTCGTGAATTGAGTAAATTTATACGGAAAGAGATCAACGGTACTGAATGTTACTCGATGGGAAAATTGCTGCATAAAGTTGGCGAGTTCGATAAGGCAGAAGAATTCTATCTCATATCGCTCGAACAGGCATTGAACAATAGTGATAGAGCACTGATCTATCATCAGTTAGGTAGAGTAAAATTGGAGCAGAGCCAATATGAACAAGCGAATACATTTTACGAAAAATCTCTTAAAATCTACCGAGAAACTCTTCCGAATGATCATCCAAAATTTTCTGAAATTTATCATGATATCGGTCGAGTGTATAATTGCATGTGTAACTATCCGAAAGCATTCGAATATTATGAAAAAGCAATGAAAACAAGAGAAAAAATTATGCCTGAGAATCATCGCGATTTGGCTGAATCCTACAGCGACATGGGTCAAGTACATAACGACCTGTGTGACTATTCGAAAGCTCTTGAATTTTATGAAAAATCACGTAAAATCTACGAACAAGTTCTGCCTCCAAATCATCCTGATTTGGCTGTATCCTACAACGACATTGGTCAAGTGTACAACAACATGGGTGACTACTTGAAAGCATTTGAATTTTATGAAAAAGACCTAAACATCACCAAAAAAGTTCTGCCTCCGAATCATCCCGATTTGGGTACTTCCTACAACTTCATTGGTCAAATGTATAACAAAATGGGTAATTACTCAAAAGCACTTGAATCTTACGAAAAATCACATGAAATCTATGAAAAGAGTCTGCCTCCGAATCATCTCAGTTTGGCTGCTTCCTACATTTGTATGGGTCTAGTGTACAAGAATATGGGACACTACTCAAAAGTACTTGAATTTTACGAGAAATCGCATAAAATCTATGAAAAAACTCTACTTTCGAATCATCCCGATTTGGCTACTTCCTATAATAACATTGGTCAAGTGTATAATGACATGGGTGACTACTCAAAAGCACTTGAATTTTACGAAAAATCACGTACAATCTATGAAAAAACCCTGCCTCCGAATCATCCTAATTTGGCTACTTCCTACAACGAAATCGGTACGATATACTTTACAATGGGAGACTATTCAAACGCACTTGAATTTTTTGAAAAATCGCATAAAATCTATGAAAAAACTCTACCTTCGAATTGTCACAATTTGGCTACCTCCTACAATAACATCGCTGCAGTGTATAACACCATTGGTGACTACTCGAAAGCACTTGAAATTTATGAAGAATCTCATAAACTCTACAAAAATGCTCTGCCTCCAACTCACCCGAATTTGGCTACTTCTTACATCTTCATTGGTCAAGTGTATAAGAACATAGGTGATTATGCCGCAGCTCTAAAGGCTCTCCAAAGTGCTTTTAACATTCAGCAAAAAACGTCAGAAGAAGGTAATCCAGCTTTTGCTTCAATATACAGCTGGCTCGGAAGAGTTTATTATAGTATGAAAGATTATTCAAAGGCACTTAATTATTTCCAAAAATGCCTTTCAATTAACCAAAAGACATTACCTGAAAGGCATCCTAGTATTGGTATAACGTTCAGCAATATTGGCAATGTTTATCGACAGATGGATGATTATGATCAGGCACTTTTGTCTCATCAAAAAGCATTAAATATTCAAGAAAATGTGCAATGTAACCCTCTTGAAGTTGCAACAACATATATAAATTTAGGTGAAACATATCGTGAAATGAAAGATTATCCAACAGCATTGATATATTATCAAAAAGGATTAGAAATACATCAAAAGAAACTACCAAAAAAACATCCTGATTTAGCTGTAACTTTTCATAACTTGGCTAAATTATATTTATCTACTCAACAATATGATATGGCAATGAAAAAAGTTCAACAAGCGTTGAAAATTGCTCAAGAGAAATTACCTTCAAATCATCCTTATCTTCTAGAATATAGGGAAACATTTAAAAAAATTCAAGAGAATGTAAACGTAGATTTTTTTTGATTTGCTCAATAGATCACTATTAGGCTTCTTATTCGGTTTTTCTTTGCTTCTTCTCGTGCAAGGTGTAGATAGATGTGACGTGTGTGTGTCGGTGTGTGGCTGGTGGCATGGTGTGGACATGGGTGTTAAACTTCTTTGCATTCATATCCACACCCGACGTATCGGGCAAAATGAATTGAAACTAAGAATCGTTATCGAAATTATTAAAAACTATGACTTTTTCGGGAGTATAATAGAACTTTCCTTCTTTAATTATTTTCAAATCTACTACT